CTCTGAGAACTGTGTTCAAACTTCATAAACACTCGGGAGTTTGATCACATATAACACACTCTGAGAACTGTGTTCAAACTTCATAAACACTCGGGAGTTTGATCACATATAACACACTCTGAGAACTGTGTTCAAACTTCATAAACACACGGGAGTTTGATCACATATTACACACTCTGAGAACTGTGTTCAAACTTCATAAACACTAAGGAGTTTGATCACATATAACACACTCTGAGAACTGTGTTCAAACTTCATAAACACTAAGGAGTTTGATCACATATTACACATTCTGAGAACTGTGTTCAAACTTCATAAACACACGGGAGTTTGATCACATATTACACACTCTGAGAACTGTGTTCAAACTTCATAAACACACGGGAGTTTGATCACATATTACACACTCTGAGAACTGTGTTCAAACTTCATAAACACTCAGGATACACAATAAACACATATTACACACACATTTTTGTTTTTGGCAAATGTATCTGGGCCCTGCCCGTTAATCATTTGTACATCTATAAAACGGATGTGTAGACAAAACTCAAGCTCTTGAACAAGATCAAAGTCTAGAAATGGATGAACAACCAGAACCTCTCGCCGGAGTTTACAGACGGTGAGCGCTAGGAAGAAGAAGATTTGCCACTCATTGAAACTTCTACGGCTGGGGGTGGGTAAACTGTTGCACGCGGGACAAAACTGGCCCACCGAGCAAATTACTATTCACACTGTTCCTTGAGCTGACAAAAAGCAAAACATAAAAATATACGTTTGTGTGTAAAAAAAAAAAAATCAACATTTAATAAATAAATACTTACTTTACTTTTACTTTTTCCTTCCACGTATGCCGCTAAGCGTTGTGAGGAGATGCAAGTTCCTGTCGTAAGCAAGGCGGGCAGCATCTGATGTTCTGAGGCCATGCTTTTGGCAGGTTTCGGAGACCCCGTCAATCCACCGTTTCCTTGGTCTTCCTCTTGCCTTATATCCTGAGCTTCTTTGGTTGAAAATTTGTGATGTTATTTGATCATTTTTCATCCTGGTTAGATGTCCAAACCATTTCATTCTTTGATGTTCTATGTAGTCTAAACATGGTGTAGTTTTGACAGTGTTTATGTCTATATTCTTTATCCTGTCTAGTCTGGTCTTATTCGCTGCTTTTCTTAGACATTTCATTTCACAGGCTTCTTTTTTTCTTTCGTGGGTCTTGTTGATTGTCCATGTCTGGCACTGGTAGCAGAGTGTTGGAATGAAGATGGTGTTTATCAATTGTCTTTTGGTCTTCATGGTTATATCTGGATGTTTAAGCAGAGGTGATAGTTGGTATGTGACAGCATTTGCTTTCTGTATTCTTGTTTCTATCTCTCTGTCCATTCTTCCATCCTCTGTAAATATACTGCCCAAGTATTTGAACTCTTTGGTTTGCTTGATTTTGGCACTTCCAACATTTATATTCAGTGGCCTGTGTGTTCTGCTGATCTTCATAACTTCTGTTTTTTCTGTACTGATTCTCATATTATGTTGTAAACAGCTGTTGTTGAGAGTAGTCAGATGTTCCTGTAGATCATATTCATTTTGATACAGTATGCTTTGATCATCAGCAAAAAGTAATTCGTTTATAGCATACACGTCTGGGTTTGCTTCTACAGTGATCTTATCCATGTATGTTATGAAAAGTAATGGTGACAGTACACATCCTTGTCTGACACCAGTTGTGACTTTGAACCATTCAGAAAGACCACTAGATGTTCTTACTGCACTTTCACTTTTTTCATAGAGGGCTCTGATGTTGTCTAATAATTGACCCTGCACTCCGTAATCGTCAAGAATTCTCCACAGCACATCTCTGTCTACACGGTCGAATGCCTTCTCTTGATCTACAAAGACCACGTTCAACTCTTTATCGTATTCGAGTGTCTTTTCACAGACTTGTCTTAGTGCAAATATGGCATCAGTGCAACCTCGCCCTTTCCTGAAACCGAATTGTGCTTTACTCAGTAGAGGTTCAACCTTTGCTCTTATCCTACCTTCTAAGATCTTTGCATACATTTTCCCCACATGACTTAGTAAAGATATTCCTCTATAAGTTCCACAATCTCTCTTGTTTCCTTTTTTCTTCCAGATAGGTACTACAACTGATCTTTGCCAATCCACTGGTACCTTTCTCTCTGTCCATGCTCTATTGAAAATTCTCTCCAGCCAGGTGATCATAGTGTCCCCTCCAGCCTGGATGACTTCTGTTGTTATTCCGTCGATACCAGCTGCTTTGTGTCTTTTACTTGTTTTGATAACCTTCTCTACTTTATCCCGCAGGATGTGTGGTTCTAGATGATCTGGAGCCCTTGAATGGAATTCTGCTGTTTCATGTATTCCCGACGGGTTCAAAAGTTCTTTAAAATATTCCTCCCATCTTTTTTAATTTCTTTTTGGCTGAATAATGGTTTTCCATTTTTATCATTTATGACTGATGTTGGATCGAAGCTTTCTTCTCTTAATCGCATCGCTTTCACACTCTTATAAAAGTCTCTTGATGATTCTGTACATAGCTGTGTTAGGTGTTCACCATACTTTTTCCATGATTCCTCTTTGGATTTCTTTATTGTTCTCTTGGTGTCTCTTCGAGTTAGTCTGTACCTAATGTAATCCTTTTCGTCTTTTGTTTTTAACCATATTTGAAACATCTTCTTTTTATTTGACACTGCTTCTTTGACTTCTTCATTCCACCAAGCGGTACCCTTTTTCTTGCCTTTGCCCGTCTTTCTGGTACCACACTTGTCTTTTAATATCTTCGTGATGGTTGATTTATAATAATCCCATTCTTCTTCAATTCCTACTGGTTCCTTGGCAATATCTGCAAAAGCCTTTGTTATTTCTAGTTCAAATTCGTGTTTGATATTCTCTTCCTCTAATTTCTTAGTGTTGATGATTTCTTCACTTTTCTGTTTATGTAGACTGTTTCTACTTGAGTTGCATATGTTCATAACTACTGGGCGATGGTCTGAATCCAGTCCCGCATTTGGGACAGCTTTTGAGTCTCTTACCTTCCTCTTCTGCCGTTGTCTGACTAGTATAAAATCAATTTGTGACGCTTGATCTAAGTTGTTCCACTTGTACCACGTTTTAACCTGACTTTGGCGATGTTGGTAGAATGTGTTGGTAATGTAGAGATCTTGTTCAGCACACAAGTTTAGCAGGTGTTCTCCATTTCTATTGCAATCTGTGGTTGTGTCGCTAAATGGGCCAAGGTATCTCTCCCATGGTGATCTTCTTTTACCTACCCTACCATTAAAATCTCCCATTACTATGATGTCCTCTTTCTCTTTAACATTGTTGATGGTGTCCGTAAGTCTCTCGTAAAAGTCTTCTTTTTCTTCTTCAGAATAACTATCATTGCAAGGTGCATATGTCTGAATAATCGTTGTAGTTTTACTTCCTTCTGTCAACTTGATTAAAATAATTCTTTCTGATATAAATTCTGTTCCTGTTATTAATTTTGCTGTCTCGGGATGAAGTATAAATCCGACACCATGTTTTGCCCTATCTTTAGTGGGTACTCCGCTCCATAATAAAACATAATTTTCATGTATTTCTTTTGTATTATATCCTTTCTTTCTTGTATCCGCAAGACCCATGACGTGTATATTTTTTCTTTTCATGAAATCCACTATTTGTGGCTCTTTGTTGGCAATACCACATATGTTCCATGTGCCTATATAAGTCGTTTTTCTGTCTCGTCGTCCTTTAACGTTTCCAGTCCATTTTCCGTTTGGGGCTATCCGTTTATTTATCTCCTTTCTAATTTTCGTAGCAATAAAAAATCCACTGCCGGCTTGCTAGGCCAGTCGCAGTTTAAGGGAAAATCTGACCAGATGGACCCCATCAAATAAATAAAAGGACTAAACTACACAATCTTAACCATAAACTGATATTGCCAAATCGTTGTTCCTGATAGGGAAACACGTATTGCGGACAAACTCGAACATTAGAACGAGATTTTGTCGACGAATTTTTAGACAAAATAAAAAGTGACAACCATTCTGTTTGCTTGGCCGGAACGTTGTAGGTCAACAGACATGTTTAGGGATATAAAGAAACGCTTTAGTGGGTGAGTGTGCCTAACCAGACTCGTAGCGAGCTTTTATAATCTTTAAATATCCCACAAAATTATCGTGTGAGCAGAAAATCTGGGTGTTACGTTTATGATGGATTTTGTTTAAAACATGGCATGTGACCAGGCTAGTTATTCTAAATCTGGCCTGAGAGGGAAAAAATCAGCCTAACCCGTTGTATATTTTCTTGATACATCGAACATAATCAATAGTTGACATGTTCTTCGCGTACCCACACACACACACGCACGCACACATTCACAAACACACACGAACACTCACTAGTTCATTCATGCATCACACTATTTTGTCAGTAGCCCTGTCACTGAGGTCTATGCTTGTTGTCACCATAATTGTGGTTATCATTCCCCACATAGTTTGTTATTGTCATCCTTCTGTCTGTGCAAATGAACCTCCTCCCCTTCCAATCATTTTGAAGGGGACTAAGAGCCTCTGCCTAACCATGTATGTGGGCTTTTTTTGATAAAAGTATTTGTTCATTCAATTCATATTTCAGATATACTACTATATGTATTGGCTTGCTATTTGGCAGATTTTTATTATTATTGCGACCTAAGCGAGGAATCGGCTCCAATGAACACCTTCCCCACCCACATGAATTATAAGTGAGTAGAGCCCGGCCCTTCCACAACCTTGCAGTGATATCGTTGTGTGTGCGCCCCTGGAATCCCAGCCTAAGGCAGTGTCAAATAAGGCTGAAAATCAGGCTCCCTTTTTCTGCAGCACAAAGCCTTGGTTATATAGTGTGAAGTATATATTATACCCGAAGCGTTATTCCTTTTCCAGCCGGTATTGTAAACTGCAAAGAAAAGACAAATATTTTACATTTTTGTTATATTTTTCAGTCTTTTCCTGACCTCACAAGTGATGGCCGATATCAAGTCAGATTCCATGGAGGCAGACACCTACTCGCAGAGAGTACGCCAACTGTCTGGTTCATTCCTCTCCTTTATCAGTGAGGCCGGTAGAATCTTCACAGGCAGAACAGCTGATAGTCACAAAGCAGCCGTAACTGAAGAAGCAAAATTAGAAGGCGATGCAGTTGATAAGTTTCCAATTATTGTGGTGAACAAAGCAACCAGGAGTGAGCCGGAAAACGTACAAATAAGTGTAGAGGACAAAGTAGGAATGATGGTGATCTATGAAGATAGTGTTGCTGAGGACAAATCACAAAGTGATCTAGCGGAGAAATCACATAGTGATCTAGCTGACAAATCACATTATGATAAAGCGAGCCAATTAGACACTGATCTAGCGAGCCAATTACCTAGTGATCTAGCTAATAAATTAGATAGCGATCTAGCAGACAAATTACCAGGTCATCTAGCGAAAAAATCACGTGTTCTAGTGGCCAAACTGAGAAGTGATGAAGGGGACAAAGCACACAGTGATGTAACAGGCAGCTCACAGGCAGGCAGTGAACCACGAAACACAAAATTATGAAGTGGACAAGTCACCATAATATTTATATACATATACATTTGATGTGAAGTGTGTGTGTACTAGATTTAATTGCGCGGATTCGCCTGGCAGAGTGAAAAAAAAAGTCTTAATCTGCGTTTTTTTTTTTTTCCTTATCTGGTCTCCACCGCGGCCCTTCTAAGCGGCCTAGTGGAAATAGGGGTCTAAGTAAATCCTATATTTAATATCCCGTCTTCTATTTCATGTTTGTCTCCACCTTTGCCGTATCTTTAATCATTACCCCTAATTGCACTGGAGATATCCACTATATTACTAACACTTGTATTTAACAATTTAGGAGACAGACACACATATATGGGGTTTCATAGAAGATAACATCGAAGTATAATTTTCACAAATTAACCTTTTCAGGGTAAGAAATAGGGAAAGAAAATTCCAGAGATCTAACTACAGTGAAAGTTAACTTTTACTGACTGATGCAACAAGTCAAGGAAATGCTTATAAAGCTGACCGTCAGTATGACTGCCAGAGTAAAGATTGTAGCTATAGTGGCAGTTGTAAGTTTAAAACCTGTTTAGTGGACACGATTTCGGAGCCGTTAATACTTCATTTAAAATGAACTCACGAAATACAGAAAGGGTTTGTGATTTATAGTATAGATATATACACACATTAACATAAATACACATGTATATATTTGTACATAAATGCACATACGGTACATAGTGCATCTAAAGAGCACATACAAATCTTCATCCCTATTATGTGCCACGTCGGTAAGCGTAGTCTGCCATATCACAGATCAGACCAGTGTAGTAGTCTCGCCCCATCTATAAGGCCAAGCCATCCAGGTGTTTATTTCTTTGCCATCCCCTTTACTCCTTTCTCACCAATCATGTCAGTTGTTACCAAGTTTTCGAGTTCTTTCCTTCTCATATTATGTCTTGAAAAAAAAAATGACTACTTATAAACAGTAGATTTAAAAAGTACTTATAAATACTGCCAGATAGAACTGCTCTGTGGTTGATCACAATGTCTTTCCTAAAACCATTTAGTACTTTTTACATTTTAAAACAAAACTGTCAAGGATTCGTTACAGTGGCCAACCCGGCATATGACGCTAGACTCGTATTTCTAAAGCTTGAACACTCCATCAGTCATAGTCAACATCATGCTGGCTGTCTTTACTTCCCACGACATGAAATGGTGTGTATGTTTGTTTGTTTTAGTCTGGCGTGCTTATCGCTTTGTCTCACATACAAAGCAAGTGACCAAGAATGGTGACGTTCATGGCTTTGTCTCACACACATACCAAGTGACCAAGAATGGTGACGTTCATGGCTTTGTCTCACACACATACCAAGTGACCAAGAATGCTGACGTTCATGGCTTTGTCTCACATACAAAGCAAGTGCGCAAGAATGGTGACGTTCATGGCTTTGTCTCACACACATAACAAGTGACCAAGAATGGTGACGTTCATGGCTTTGTCTCACACACATATAACAAGTGACCAAGAATGGTGACGTTAATGGCTTTGTCTCACACACATAACAAGTGACCAAGAATGGTGACGTTCATGGCTTTGTCTCACACACATAACAAGTGACCAAGAATGGTGATGTTAATGGCTTTGTCTCACACACATAACAAGTGGCCAAGAATCGTGACGTTCATGGCTTTGTCTCACACACATAACAAGTGACCAAGAATGGTGACGTTAATGGCTTTGTCTCACACACATAACAAGTGACCAAGAATGGTGACGTTAATGGCTTCGTCTCACACACATACCAAGTGACCAAGAATGGTGACGTTCATGGCTTTGTCTCACATACAAAACAAGTGATCAAGAATGGTGACGTTCATGGCTTTGTCTCACACACATAGCAAGTGACCAAGAATGCTGACGTTCATGGCTTTGTCTCACACACATAGCAAGTGGGCAAGAATGCTGACGTTCATGGCTTTGTCTCACACACATAACAAGTGACCAAGAATGGTGACGTTCATGGCTTTGTCTCACACACATATAACAAGTGACCAAGAATGGTGACGTTAATGGCTTTGTCTCACACACATAACAAGTGACCAAGAATGGTGACGTTCATGGCTTTGTCTCACACACATAACAAGTGACCAAGAATGGTGACGTTAATGGCTTTGTCTCACACACATAACAAGTGGCCAAGAATGGTGACGTTCATGGCTTTGTCTCACACACATAACAAGTGACCAAGAATGGTGACGTTAATGGCTTTGTCTCACACACATAACAAGTGACCAAGAATGGTGACGTTAATGGCTTCGTCTCACACACATACCAAGTGACCAAGAATGGTGACGTTCATGGCTTTGTCTCACATACAAAACAAGTGATCAAGAATGGTGACGTTCATGGCTTTGTCTCACACACATAGCAAGTGACCAAGAATGCTGACGTTCATGGCTTTGTCTCACACACATAGCAAGTGGGCAAGAATGCTGACGTTCATGGCTTTGTCTCACACACATAACAAGTGGCCAAGAATGGTGACGTTAATGGCTTCGTCTCACAAACATACCAAGTGACCAAGAATGGTGACGTTCATGGCTTTGTCTCACACACATAACAAGTAATCAAGAATGGTGACGTTCATGGCTTTGTCTCACACACATAACAAGTGATCAAGAATGGTGACGTTCATGGCTTTGTCTCACACACATAACAAGTGATCAAGAATGGTGACGTTCATGGCTTTGTCTCACACACATAACAAGTGATCAAGAATGGTGACGTTCATGGCTTTGTCTCACACACATAACAAGTGGCCAAGAATGGTGACGTTAATGGCTTCGTCTCACACACATACCAAGTGACCAAGAATGGTGACGTTTATGGCTTTGTCTCACACACATAACAAGTGACCGAGAATGGTGACGTTAATGGCTTCGTCTCACACACATACCAAGTGACCAAGAATGGTGACGTTCATGGCTTTGTCTCACATACAAAACAAGTGATCAAGAATGGTGACGTTCATGGCTTTGTCTCACACTCATAGCAAGTGACCAGGAATGCTGACGTTCATGGCTTTGTCTCACACACATAGCAAGTGGGCAAGAATGCTGACGTTCATGGCTTTGTCTCACACACATAACAAGTGGCCAAGAATGGTGACGTTAATGGCTTCGTCTCACAAACATACCAAGTGACCAAGAATGGTGACGTTCATGGCTTTGTCTCACACACAAAACAAGTGATCAAGAATGGTGACGTTCATGGCTTTGTCTCACACACATAACAAGTGATCAAGAATGGTGACGTTCATGGCTTTGTCTCACACACATACCAAGTGACCAAGAATGGTGACGTTCACGGCTTAGTAATTTTGAACAGATAGTGCTGCTGTTGACATTTAATATAGAGTCAGAACATTAGTGTATGTGTTCTCTTCTTCTTCTTCTTCTTCTTCTTCTTCTTCTTGGCACTAACGCACACTTTGTTCTTTACTGTTAGGATGCGATATTTGCATCTTATGCACATCTTATTTCACCGTATACTTAAGTAGCCAGCTTTCAAAACACATACAAATGGCCAGCTGGTCTCATCTCCCCTTCCCCCCCTCCCCCTCCTTTTTCGCCTCCCACATTGGCGCCCTGGAACATCACATAATGCAGATTTCACATGATGATGTTGCCAGTGATGACCTGATTATCAGTTTATCAATTGTGTTGTCCCTCCTGTGGGCTAATCAACGTCCAGACCCTCTGCTTGCAGCCAGAAGTGTGTGTGTTTTTTTCTTTTTTTTTCTTCACAATTAAAAAAAAAAATGTGGAAATCAAAATCAATGTCCGTTTATATCAAAATATATGCTTAGTATTTTAGCATTACTTTATACGACACTACCGCGCCAGCTTGAGAGGCGAAGTCTTCTTCCGGGGTATCGCCCAGACAGACAAACCTGGACCAGTGCAGCTGTGTGTGCCCATGAAGTGTACGAAGATTTGTACTCAGGTATTGATCTAGAGCAGTGTTTTCCAAAGTGGTCAAGGGGGCGGTAGCGGTCTCGATCAAATGTAGGGGGGTTGGGACGCTCAAGGAGGGCGGTAGCAGCCTCAAGTCTAGCTGGAAAGCATTCAATAGAAAAAAAAACACCAAAGACTGCTGTAGAGAGAGAGAGAGAGAGAGAGGGGGGGGGGGGGAGGCGGAGACTTCTGATAAACTATTCGTACCTTTCTGAATGTAGTGTAGAGGTTTAAAATCGCAGTGATTTGCTTAAATTAGAAAAATAAACAAAGAAATTATGTTAAGGCCAATCAGATTCCTCCTTCTCAATAAAGGGTGTGACACTGAGTGGAAGCAGACCTGAGCTGAAACTTCTATAGCAACAGTTACTCTCGACATGTTTTTTTTTTTTTTGGAGCAAGAGACGTTGGGTACCAACGATCTGACAGAATTTAAATAGATAAATACAGACTTTTCTTTCATTGAAATGTTGACAATTTTCGTTACCAGTGCATATTCAGCCTTTTTTGTCATGTTTGATGACGAAAACCAGCCACTAGTATTGATGATTCGGAATTTGCTGGCGAATGTAGAGCTGAAAAAGAAAATTCCTGGATAAGAAGAGATTCACCTGTGAATGTAATCGTCATATCGCAACTGACAGGAGCGACAACGATGACAGACTTGATGACAGAGGTGATGTAGGTACCTCTGAAGAAAGACGTGGGCTTGGCACAAGAGACCACAACGTTTTTAAAGCTAAAAATGTGTTTGAAAAAGAAGAAAGGCTGCTCAGAATAACTTGTTAAGCTTGACAATTTTTCTCCACACAAAGAACAACAATGTGCCATGTCAGACACAGTTGGCTGTGCGCGATTGTTTTATGTGAAAAAATATAAATGCATGTTGGCAGTTAGCTGGCATGACACTAAGGAAGTTCACCTGATATCTACTGTTTACTCCAATGATGTTATGGACAAGAAGGTTAGGAAAAGTTGAATTCTCGAGGGAATAATAATAAATAAGCTAGTTC